CGAACCCAGCAGAGGGTTCGATGGAACCCGAGGAAGAAGAGGAAGAAGAAGAAGAAAGAAGAGGAAGAAAAAAAGAGAAAAAGAGAAAGGAGTTATTTTATTTTATTTTTTAAAAATATAAATAGAAATAGCGTGAGTTGGCATAAAAAAAATTCCACCTCTAACCTGTTTTCCATTTGTTTTTGCCACGTCATCAAAAAAATTATAAAAAATGCCACATAAGCGAGTTAACGATCGAAATTAACAGAAGGACTAACAGAGTGCATTTCGTATAGTTGAGGGATCAAAAAAGTGCAAAAAATTGTTAAGGGACAAAAAATGTGCAACTCACTAAAGTTGAGGGACCAAATCTAGCATTTAACCAAATTGTAATTTGGTGGGTCTCACTTTTGTTTTTGCGTTGGTATGACCATGTTATCATTTATCCAAGTGTACAACTGACGTGGCTTAAATTTTTGTTATATCTGTGAGTTAACGGACGATTTCTAACGGAAGGACCAAATCGGGATAAAAATGGTAAACAGTAGGGACCAAATCAGGGATGTTTTTAGTTTAGGGACCAAATCGGGGGTCCGTACAATAGTTCAGGGACCCAAAAGGGGTTTTAACCTTTTTCTTTTCTGGCTAGATCAGGAAAAATAGAAAACAGAGTGTGGTATTATTTATATTCCGTCACACTCTCACTGTATTTTATTTATTTTCCTTTTGAAGAATTCAGTGCACATTACCAAGTTCTCCACTCCGATCTCTTTTAGAAAAAAATACATACTTACAGGAGAATCCGGAGAAAATTCCAACTTATGGTGGTCACTAAGTTGTCCTTATATTCATAGTCTACTTACAATAAATTAATTAGATTCTTTCTTGACTTGTGGTGATCACGAAGTTGTCCATTTATATATACAAGTCTACCTACAATAAATTCCAATCTTATTGATGTTAACAACTCAATGGTCTTGACGTTAGAATCTGGAGAAGACATCATATATGGTGTACCTATAATAAATTAATGCGTCATTTTTAATTCTTTTATGTTCCCTGTTGATATTGTTCAATCTATGCGTTCCATAGCAGCTATTTATATACACAAGCAGAAAGGTTCCGAAACTCAAATAGTTGAACCAAAAGGTAAAATTTGGACCATTTTTCCCTGACAGTTTTCATTTTTGCTCAGCTAAATTAATCTTAATTTTCTTCTTATCACTCTAAGTGAATATAATGGTTTTGGGTAAACATAAATTTCATTTTTCTTTAAGGTTTTTGATTTAAGGAGCTCCTGCTCATAAATCAAAGGTCAAGTCTTCGTTTTGTATTTGCATGGATGCTTCCGAGGGAGGAAACTAAAATTTCCAAAGTTGATTAATTCAATTCTGTCTTGTTTTCTAGCTTGAGAGAAAGAGACCAGAGTAGGCAAGTCAATGATCTATTTGGTTATGCCGGAACTCAATAATTTTCAAAGGAGAGGCTGTGAATATTGAACATGTTTTTGACCAAATCAAGTTGAGTTCCTTCGCATGGATCAAAGCAAACATGTTGCCGGATTTATCCCAATCACTTTGGTACAATCAGCCTAAGGAAGCCTGCAGAATACACGCACAGTAACTCCCTCTTTTGTTTTGCTACAAAGAAAGTAACCTGCTCTTTGCTGAAGCTGGAGTATGGCCTTTCACTGTCCCTGCTACTTCTTTTGGGATTAGTATTGTAAATGGGTTGAGGTACCCTTGTACCTTATCAATAAAATTCTCTTTGCTGATTAAAAAAAAAAACAAGTCAATGGTCTTCCGTTTCTTTTAAGTTGCTTTAGCGTGTTCCACACTCTGATTTGTATTGTTGAATTCCAAGATCAAACCATCTGGCCCACTGTACCTTTCAGTTCAAAATTTCCAAACTGTCATCTTCCTTAGGTTAGACTTTCATTGCTTTATAACCTTTTTTGTGCTAAGCACATAATAAGATAAGAATTATAGGGCTCATTAAAATCATATTGTCCAAATAAGTAATTTTTTTTTTAACACAATCATAGTCCAAATAATTATGTACACCCATAATTTCAACATAACCATTTCACACCATCATGTTGCATTACTTCACAGAAAATAACAGAGTAAATCACCTGAGGAGGTTGTTTTAAGTTTCAACATGCTTCTTCACACTTCGAGGACTCAACTTATCTATTGTGTCTTGCTGGTGTAATGATAATAACAAATAACAAATCAAAATCTGTTTGTGTGGTTTGTATCTTCTATTGTAAGAAGAGCTAACTGCAGCTTGCTATGAAACTAGATAGGACTACAATCTGAATTGTGATTTATGTGTACTAAATTATGATTTATGTGTGTTTTATAGTATCATTTTGGTGTTTTGCTTGTTTGATTCGAGCAACTAGTTTGTAAGGAATGAAGAACAAGACAGCTACAATAGAAATAAGACTGAAATCTGAATTCTGCAAGTTTAATACTCGTATTTTTATCAAAATATTCATTTGATAGAATGGTTATTCCTTAATCAAATTATAAAAAACAGATAAATTAGATAGAAATCAGGCTAATGGTTTTTTTCTTGTTTTACTTTTGGATTCAAGGGGCTCCTGCTTATAATTAAAATCAAAGGTCAGTCTTCTTTTCTCTGTTGCATTCAATATAATTTTGGTTAAAACCCCTTTTTGGTCCCTGAACTATTGTACGGACCCCCGATTTGGTCCCTGAACTAAAAAAATCCCTGATTTGGTCCCTACTATTTACCCATTTTACCCCAAATTGGTCCTTCCGTTAAAAATCCTCCGTTAACTCATAGACATATAAAAAATTTAAGCCACGTCAGTTGCTAAATGATGACATGGTCATACCCAACACAAAAACAACAGTGGGGCCCACCAATTTACAATTTGCATCATCTTCTTCCTCCAGCATCTTCTTTCTCGAATCTTCCTTCATTCA